GTAATTTGCAAATTGAAAATTCCCACATTGCATTGCCAATTCAAATTTCAAACACCATTCTCCTCGGTAATTAGCCAACCTACTCCACCTAGTAAGCCACTGTTCATAATAGTTAGAAACATGATTCTTGTCGGTAACTAACTCACCATCCCACCTACCAAGACACTGTTTATTATACGTGGAGACATGATCTTTGTTGGTGAATTACCGATGTGAGTTACTAGAAAAGAACTTCGATAGTATTGTTCTGGGACAACTTTGGACACATGGCTTTTGTCAGTAAATTGGAGTTGTCTTACCAACGTAACTTTTATCCACATCGGTAAATGAATTATCGAGGCCACTTTCACCGAGGACCCAATTATCGACATGATTCTTATCGACATGCTTTCCTTTCTTTCCGACATGATTTCACGTCAAGAAATTCATGAATTCTAGTAGCGAGGGTCTTCCTTATCGTGCGCAAGAGTTATGTTTTTTTTTAACTATTCCTTAAATACATAAATTAAAAGTGTAATTGATGAAATATTTTTAAAAAAAATTGTATAAAAAAATGAAATTGATCTAATTAAAAAATAATAACTATATCTTAAAAATAGAACTTATATGAATAAATTATTTACAATTTAAATCATAAAATATTTTTTTGTTGCTCATATATTCATTAATTTATTTTTTTCTTCAACATATTATACACACTAAAATTAAAGTAAAAGTTGATACACGCTAAAATTAAAGTAAAAGTTGATTATAAGGTACAAGGGTTCAACCATAGTAGGTTTTGTTTGTGGAGGTTCCATATTAATTGTTTATAACGCTAAAGCCTAAAAGAGGAATACCAAAAACAGGGATGTTAACCAATGAGAAGTTGAATCAAGTGGTAAGCGACTTGTTCCAGCTTAAGTAAGGTCTTGAGTTCTAAACTTTGTGTACGCAGTAGCCTTCATTGGGAGACTCACCGATTATTTCCAGGTGCGCGACTTAGGTTGATTCGGATTAATCGGGACGAAGCCTCATATACCGGGCGAGAAACCAAAAAAAAAAAGACAGGGATGTTGGTCACGCTAACTGCTCATTGGATTAAAAACTTTGGGTTAAATGTCCATTTTCATCCCTCAACTTTTAAAATTTTATATAATTTTCATCCTTTAATTTTTTATATACTTTTTTATCTCAATTATGAAAAATATATTTTTTTAATCATTCATCAGTTAATCCGTTAAATTTGTTTAAATATACACAATTTTAATTTCTCAACTTATAATATATACACATTTTTTATCTTTGACTTTAAGTTAAGGAATAAAAAATGTGCATATTTAAATAAATTTACTGAATTAACTGACAAAAAAAATTTTTAAAATACATTTTTCATAATTAAGGGACCTAAAAGTACAAAAAATATTAAAAGACAAAAATTATATAAAACCTTAAAATTAAGATACCAAAATTGACATTTAACCAAAATTTCGAAATATAAAATTAAGGCCTACAAAAAACCAAATGACTGAGAGGAATTCAATGCCTTCTCCTAGCTGCTTAACGTAACTAATGTGCTGATTTGAAAACGCTGCATAGACAAGCATTTCCATCCAAACATCCCTAATCAGCCCCCATTTGTTTTCTGATTGCTTTAAATGTCTGGCTAGTTCAAACACATCTTTCTGTAGGATGTCTTCCAATAATGTCTCACTGCGTGGTTAAACTTCGAAATATAAAATTAAGGCCTACAAAAAACCAAATGACTGAGAGGAATTCAATGCCTTCTCCTAGCTGCTTAACGTGACTAATGTGCCGATTTGAAAACGCTGCATAGACAAGCGTTTCCATCCAAACATCCCTAATCAGCTCCCATTTATTTTCTGATTGCTTTAAATGTCTGGCTAGTTCAAACACATCTTTCTGTAGGATGTCTTCCAAGAATGTCCCACTGCGTCTTAAAAATGAAGAAGAAGAAGAAGAATTTTAGAAAGAAAAATAACTACTTTAATTCTAATTTTGTAATTCTATGAAAAAAAGAAATTAAAAATATCAAACTGGATTTTTTGTGAACAGTAACTAGATTAGAAAGTAAAGTGAAAGCATCATTTCTTATACCTATCGTAGGAGACGCATCGCCCTATAGGTTTTCCATTGTTGATTCAATGCAATATTTAAAAAAAATTTAAAAGAACTTATCAAAACTATACTTTAATTCTACTTTTATAATTCTATGAAAATAGGTAATTAAGAACATCAAACCTGGATTCAAGCTCATCATTGTCAACAGTATCAGGATTCAAATCTAATGTGGAAGCAACATTTCTTATATCAATTGTAGGAGACACATCTCCCTGTAGGTCTTCAATTGTTGACTCACTGCAAATTGAGGGAAAAAAAATGAACTTTAGAAAGAAACAAAACTATACTTTAATTCTAATTTTATAATTCTATGAAAATAAGAAATTAAAATTATCAAACCTGGATTGAAGGTCGCTATCTGAAACTAATGTGGAAGCAGCATTTCTTATATCAGTTGTAGAAAACAAAAGGTCTTTGAGCATGTCATAAGTATGATCAAGCCAGAAACTCTTGCTGCGTTCAGGCAATATCAGGGCAGGATACCTAGCCAATAGATACATCATGTAATCTGATACTTGTTTACTAATAATGGCTTTCCCATCAACATCATGAGCCTCTTGATAATAGCAAACACTTGTGGCGAGGTGCCATATTATGATGCTATAATCAAAGTCTAATTCAAAGCTCCAACTTAGATTATCATATTGCCCCGCTTTGCTTAGTGTTTTCTTTCCCCTTGAAAAATTGTGCATGAAGACTGAAGTAACAGGTGCCAAGAAATTCTCCATGCCTTTTAAATAACATGGAACCGGAGGAAATTTAGTAAATCTGTATTTGTGGTAGATTTCAATAATGTCACTGCCAATGGTGATCTTTTGTAGAATGCCACTTGATCGGTTCACCTTCTTTTTCTTATAAAGCAGACAATATTTCAACAGATCAAATTGTCCAATTCGATTTGACCACCTTTTACTTTGACACAATAAAGAAGGGAAGCACTTTAAGCTTAAGGCTCCCTTAAACAGTTTGCGTATCAACACACAATGATGAAATGCCCCAACAAGAATTGCCCAATCAGAAGAAAGCATTATCCATGCTGCATAAAGTTCCAATGCAATAGCTCCGGTCAATAAGATACCCGTTATGGCAAGATCAACTCTTGAGAAATGGAATTTTGGCTCATTAATGATACTGATAAAGAAGAGCAGTAGAACTGAAAAGGAGCTCACGAAACTGGTGAGGCGCAAAGAACAGCCTAACTTCGTGTAAATCAAAGCAGCTTTGGTGTAAACAACATCAAATATAAATTCTAGTTGAACAACAAAACGGTCGATAACTTCGATGCCTTCAAAATGGCCTGAGGAAATTTTCTCGTAGCCTGAGAAAATATAGTCCAAATACTTAGGAAGGACAATAGGATTATTTATATGTGTAATTTCCTTAAAATAAGTTTGCATTATTATGCTAGTAGAGGTAGAACTATGGGAATAGAGGAAATCATTGACATCAGGTCTCGTCATTGTAAATAACAGATAATCTTGTAACACAAATGGGTTTCCTTCTGCAAAATCTTCAAGGGTTTGATCCTTGGTGAGAAGAGAAAGACTTTGAGAATTAAAGATATCAGAAATGACTGGTTCTATTTTCTGCAAGTTATTCAGCCTGAGGCACAATACTTTCTCTACATACTTAATAATTCCAGCTAAGATGAGAGGGAGACTTAAAAATGAGAGCCAAGAAAAGGTCCACGACAAACAAATGATATAACCAACAAGAATGGCTTTGACAACTAGGATAACGACGTGCCTAATCCAAAGCTTGTTGTCTTCAAAAGCATAAGCTGTGATGGTGTCAGGGCCACCAAGATGAAACAAGAGCAAAGGGGCCCAATATGCTCTTAAAACATTCATGGTGGGAGATTCAATATGGGAACTGGAAAGCTTGGCCAAAGTAGCAATGGCAATCCAGTCGGCACCTAAGTAGGCAAACCATAGAATGATTTTGGAGAAAGGGTTAAGTGTGTATTTCCGACGCCTACCTAAGACAGAGAGCACAATTTGTAGGGTGAGACTAAAAAGAACCATTCCCCTCACATCCCAATTCTCCCACACTTCCAGCAGCGTTGTTGAAAAGGAACTCATAATTGAGCTTGACTTCTCACTGTTTATAAATACAATAAAATAAATAAATAAATTGTATCAAAAGAAAATTACTCTTTTAAAAAAATTAAAATACTTTTCCAAGAAACAATAACAAATTATGTATGAGAGAAATTGACAAAAGTGTCGTTGATTGGGTAGAAAGTGCTAGATCATGAATTATTATGCACTAATGTAAAATTTTGGAATTAAATTTAAAAAGTATGAGTCTTTTTTTGGGGCGCCCGCTTATAGCAACTAGTACAATTGTTAAGGTAACTAATATTTTTCTTTCGTTTATTTACATTACTTCTTTGTCAATTGAATTTAAGTGATAGAGGTAAAATGAAAAATAAATGTATTTTCTTAAATTGAATGAATAAATAAATAATTTAACAAAAATAAAAAGAAAAATGTTAGTAGCCTTAACAATTGTACTTTAGCGTCCTATTTAAGAAGACTGCATTCAACCCACAGCTTGAGATTTTGTGGCAAAAAAAATCTCTCAATTATTCATTATAGCTTGCTTATACTTATCCAATGACAAAAAATATATATATTTAATTAATTTAAAATCTCATATACATATGATATATGTAAATAAAATATTAAATTTAATAGTTACTTTAATGATAAAATATAATGTACATCAGTTTCAATTTTTTTAAAAAAATTAGAATTTCAATTTACATTTAAAAATTAAAATTTTAATTCAAAATTTAAAAATGTATTCTATTAAATATTGATACCTAGATTTGAAAACCAATGTATATATTCTAGTATAATCAATTTCTAAATTTAGATATTAATATTTAATAAGATAAATTATTTAATTTTAAATAAAATAAAATAATATCATTTAATGTTTAGACTCTAATTTATTTTAAAATTCAAAACTAATATACATTTTTCTCATAACGATACATTAATAATAAATGAAAAAAGTGGTACTAAGAATTTAAAAGAAATTTAAAGTTAACGTGGATCATAGCAATTGAAATATTTTTAGTTACCCGAATAAGTAAATGCTAGTGGACTTAATTACCTTTGAGCCATCTCTGCGCAATGAACCTGAAGCTAGTAACTTTTCGCCAATCTCTAATACACACACAGTAACTTTATAGAGAATTGAGAAAGAAGAGTGTCTTTTTTGTTATAGTTTAATGAGTTTCCAGGATGATGAGATCAATTATATATATAAATAGAAGACTCAAAAGCTTGAGAGCACTTTAAATTATTCTAAACTTATCACTCAAAAGTTAAAATTACCGTACTTAAATATTCTTATTCTTTGCTTCAACACATATATACTTAAAAAAAAGTTAAAAGTGAAAATTAGAAAAGAGAGAGAGAGAGAGTAGAAAATGCATCCGAATAGATTTCCCAACAAGAAAAGGATATTGCCTGAAATTTGAAGAGTATTCTTCAAGGAGCTCCTAAGAACTTTCAAACGTTCCTACTGCATTATATGTTTAAGCTTTGAAATTTAGATGGTTGTATGTAATTATACTAAATTAGAGTTATACAAATTTGAAAATTAAATGCAACCCTCAGAATCTTAACAAGTTTTGTTACAAGATTTGTAAGTTTTTATTTGTCTTTGAATTTTGTTATTTCTAATAGTATTGAAAGATGAGAGATGATAAATTAACATTTCGTGTAAGTGTAGTATTTGAGATTTGTATATAAGTAGATCTCCACTTTATATGTATAGAGAGAGAGTAAAGATTTATTTATACACAAATCTTACACAAAATCTTAACCATTAATCTCTTTACTTTTAATGGTTGAGATTTACTTACATTTATTAAAGATAATTATATTTTTTGCCTAAAATGTTATGACAAAACTCAACCATTGAAGATGGAGAAATGAGTGGTTGAGATTTTGTATAAGTGTAATGTATAAGATTTGTGTGTGAATAGATCCCTCCTCATCACGACAATTTAGGTGAAAAAGAAAATTATCTTTAAGAAATGTAAATAAATCTCAATTATTAAAAGTGGAGAGATGATATATATATATATATATGGAGAGATGATATATATATATATATATGAAAAGATCCATTTACACACAAGTCTTACATACTATACTTATATCAAATCTCAACCTTTTATCTCTCCACTTTCAATGGTTGAGATTTATCATGACTTTTTAAGTGAAAAACATACTTATCTCAACTACTGAAAGTAGAAAAATGAATAGTTAAGATTTTGAGTAAATGTAAGGTGTCAGATTTGTATATAAGTGAATCCCTACTCATAAATTTATATATGGCATTAAATGAGTTGATACATATAATATTACGAGTAAACCCCTGAATGAAGATAGTTAATTATACAATGACATATCATATTTTAATCTTATAATGTCAGATGATATTGTAACTATAACATTCTCAATAATACTTACAAGCCGCTTAAGCTCCCCGTGCATGTGTTGCACAATAGAGTAAAAGTTAGTTAATTATGGGTAAACCCATAAATAAAGATAGTTAATTATATAATGACATATCGTATTTTAATCTTATAATGTCACGTGATATTGTAACTATAATATTCTCAATAAGACTTACAAGCCACTTAAGCTCCCCATGCATGTGTTGCATGATAGAGTACAAGTTATACATGATGGGAAAAAAAAACTAGGAGCTAGGATGAAAAGGAGATCCCCAATTACATGATTTTTCTCTATACGTTGAATAAAGAATGAGAATATCTAACTAA